ATTTGCCTAAGGACCGGGACCCATCCCTCCTGGTTTTGAATAATAAAAGGGCATTCGTCGGCTGCCAACATTAAAAGCATGATCTGAAAAAATTTAACCACTGAAAGTTTAGAATGGAAGGAAGTACATAGTATTTTTATCTTTTGCTTTTTTAAGGGAGGAGGGAAGGGGTTGGGGAATGGGATAGGGGTCATTTAAATTGTTCGTTTAGATTCAGGAGAAGAAAAAAACTGCCATCTCAACTATTATATCATAGATGTCCTCATCGAAATTGTGTCTATTCCACCCCGTTGGCTCAGTTGGTTAAAGGTGATAGATGGATAGATTGATCGATTTATAAGGACAAGAACAATTAAGAAGGTACACTTAACAAAAGTCGACCACATTAGGTTTTCGGATCTGCAAACGACGGAGAGATAAACGGAATTCGAGAAAGTATACTGAGAAGGATGTAAGATGAAAGACTTGTCAGTCTTAGCAGAAACACAGGCGAAACGCTTTTTAAAGGAGTACAAAAAGGCAATGGGATGCATTAGACGTGCACTTTACACTTTTAAGGGTGCCATTGTCAAACTACGAAACTCATATTATCAATCCAACATCCGTCAAACAAAAAACACAATCTTATTCTTGTAAACTGGACGGATGTTTTAATTTTGGGCCATGCTTCTAAGTAGTAGCAATTTCCAGTTTGAAAAGAAACAGAGAAAAAAATGAGATTCCATTAACGATTTAACTGGCCATATTGTTCCCCAAAACATTCGTACCCAAAAGCCGAAGAATAAAGGTCGATAGCAGTCTGGTCCAGCTTCGAGTGTCAGTTAACGGTCATCTTCAAATGGTCATGATGGATGTTGGCGCCAACAACTCCGTCAATAATTCGACATCATTCTCAAGAAAATACATTTTTTTACCTTTTGATGGTCGTGTGAAGACGGTCATGTTTATTGCGATGGGTGTTCTTTGTGTCTATGGGACCGCAGCTAACTCACTGGTCCTCTACCTCAAGAAGAAGAAGAGAGATAGACTAAGAAACCCGAGAAAGCCTTTTTATCGAAATTTGTTGGCAGTTTTTATTCAAAATTTATCGGGCTGTCACATTCTGTTCTGCAGCATAGCGTTCCCTGCACAAGTGATGTTAAACTTTATCGACGTCACGAACAGCAACTTGCTGTGTAGGCTGTCATGGTTCCTTCGACTCCTTTTTCCAATCATAACTCTAAACCATCTTTTGGTATTAGCCATCGAGATCTACTTGTCTATAGTCTATCCTCTGGTCGTGCCTTCTGCTCGTGTCGCCAAGAGGCTAGCAGTGGCCACCTGGGTTGCTGGAGGTCTTGTCGTACTTATGGCAAGCGCTACGTTTACCTGGAAGCCCCAAACCACTGGACCTCACAGCTACACTCTGATGTGTCTCATCGACAAGACGGTTTTCATATACAAACTACTAGTCCTTGTCTTCGTTGTAATAAATATAATACTGCCAGCCCTCGCTTTGATTTTTTTAACATACCGCATTATCGCATTTTTGCGAAATAGGAAAAACGCTTCGCGGGTTTCAAATCTCCATTTGCAGAGGAAAGTGCCTGGCAACAGTAATGCAAGAGCGATCGTAAATCTACTCTTAATCTTTTTCTTGCCGTACGGTCTATTTTTGTTTGCATCGATCTCGAGACCAGCACTCAAGACTGCACAAGAAGATTTCGCAATGCAGTACTTATTAGTGCTTGTAAATAGTGTGTTGGCGTATTCTAATGCGGCTATTTGTCCCACCATCCTGTTAATTAGACTGCCTGATCTTCGACAGTCTTTCAAATATAATATCAAATCCAAGTTCATTTCTCGGAAAGACAGAGTCCAAGTACCACCCAAATCTAGTGAGATTAGTCAAGCTAATGTAAAAGCAGTAAGGAATTCGAATATAGTAGCCGTTTCAGGTTCACAAGAACAATTTGAAATGGCTGAAATGTCTAGTTTCAGAGATATGAGAGATACAAGAGCTAAGAAAAGAGAAGGGAAAATTGTATGGATGGAGCAGAAGTGCCCGAACTGATTTGAAAACCAAAGTAAAGATCAAAGTCTAGGAAGTGCTGATCTCATTTTGAAATGATTAAGAATTCAGAACAAAACAAAACAAGTAGGAACGGAACGGGACGGAACGGAAATGAATTCAGGAGCAGAACAGAAAGGAACAGAAAAGGACGGAAAGGAATGGGATAGAACGGAACAGAATGGAACGGATCGGGTCGGATCGTAATGGAACGGGAGGAAATGAAACAGAACGTAACGAAATAAAACGGTACGGAACGACATGAAACGGAACGGAATTAGTTTTAAATGCTATACGTTTGAATCTTTGCATTGTATGTATTAGATAAGTATAACGTGATTTCCCGGCGTCTACGTTTTTCTCTTCAACACTTCCACATTAAACTTCGCAGCAACTTTTAGATCGGTTGGTTGGTTGGTTGGTTGGTTGGTTGGTTGGTTGGTTGGTTGGTTGGTTGGTTGGTTGGTTGGTTGGTTGGTTGGTTGGTTGGTTGGTTGGTTGNTGGTTGGTTGGTTGGTTGGTTGGTTGGTTGGTTGGTTGGTTGGTCATCATGCTATATAAAATATTAACTAACAAGATGCTGAAACTGATGTTAAGACATAGTAGCTTGGAACTAGTGAAGCATCGACTGTGAAACCTTAACGTTATTTATTCATTCAATTTAAATTGTAAAAAGAATTGAAATTGAAATTGAATAGAAAAACAGAATTGACTATCGGAAAAAGTCGCAGACAAATATACGTGTATGGCCATTCCTATTTACAGCAACAATAAATACTGTACATATTATTATATCACAAACTTGGCAGTATAAAAGTATTGGTAGAACTATAGATAAACAACAATAGCCCTAATAACAATTAGAATATTAAACTGAAGATAATAGAGTAAATAAACAAGAAACTAGTACTAAAATGATTCAATAATGATTGTTAATCAATAAACATTTGGTACATTACATGACTTCAAACTAGGCTTATTTATATCATGGTGATGGCTGTTCCATGCCAAAGCCTTGTCGCAGTAAGGGCGAAATATCATTCACCTTAGCTTTGGTAGTTCTATTTTCTTATTATATATACGCTAATTACGTGTCTGAAAAGTCATAGAAATGATCAAATTTTCGCCAAATCAAAAACTGTTAGTACTGTACATGTTCGCTTAATTCGTGAATTTTAAAGTAAGCTAGATTGATTGTTGTCATACACGAAATAATTTCTCGAATTTTTGCCCGCCTTCTTTGTTGAAATCAGATTTTCGCCATACAATTGTGCGCAAAAATAGGGATTCTTTTTTCGCCAATAGTAAATTCTTTCCGAAAAACGCTGTAATACTTCAATCATTTTTTTAGCTCATAGTTGTATTATTGATAGCTGTACGTGGTCAAAAGGATTGCGTTTTGAACGGCACCGAACAATATTCTTGCCGCAGCAAATTAAAAATGCACCTACGTAGCTGCAAACCAATAGTTAACAATTATTCGCCGAAGGCGAAGTGAATATCGAGAAGTGTTTACCGAGACGCGAGTCTATTGCAATAAAACTGTCTCAAACCCATATCATTAGTTTTTGAGTTATTATTATTATTATGGCAAGTTTTATTTGTCTGTATATATCATGTTTACATTGACCAGCGGACTAAGTCTAGGCTGGTTAA